TTCAGGCCCTTGAGGTTATTACCATTGACCATCCCTGACTTTGTGACCTTTGGTGAGTTGCTCTACCTTTCTTCATCTCAATTATCTAACCTGTGAAAGTGAAAGTGAAATCGCTCAGTCGTGTCCGATTCTTTGTGACCGCATGGACTGTAGCCTACCTGGCTCCTCTGTCCGTGGAATTTTGCAGGCAAGAGTATTGGAGTGGGTTGCCATTTCCTTCTCCAGGGGATCTGCCCGACCCAGGGATCAAACCCGGGTCTCCCGCATTGCAGGTAGGCACTTTACCATCTGAGCCATGTGGGAAATCAACCTGTAGTATGGGTACATAATAATATTTATCTCTTAGAGTTGTTGAGTGGATTATTATTATTTTTAAAATATTTATTTATTTGTCTGCATTGGATCTTAGTTGTGGCATATAGGATCTAGTTCCCTGGCCAGCGAGGGGACCCAGGGCCTCTGCATTGGGAGCACAAAGTCTTAGCCACTGGACCACCGGGGAAGTCCCTGATTGGGTTATTAAAACTAAAGGTGCAAACTGAAGCTTTATTAACAGTTGGTAGTAATTTTGTGGCTATTATTGCTTGCTGTCATGGTTTTCTTTTGAAATCTGTGATTAACACCTAAAAGTTGTTTGAGATGTACAAAATAACAACTGTTAATGAGGTTCCTCCAAAAATGAATTGAAGAGTGGTCCTGGGAAAATACCTTTCTCTTCTTGTATGTAGGCTGTATTTCCAGTTGGTTTAGACAGAGCTATTGGAGGGGGCCACATTAAAAAATTTTGTGCACTAGGACTAAGCAGACCCAAGGAAAGGTTTCCCAAGAAGTTCTTAAGAGTTCTCTGTAATGTCAGAAGCAGAACTGTAAACTCTGGACGTGGGCCTAGCTCTCTGGGACACGTACTCAATATTTGAAGCTGAGGCCAAAATGATAAGCCTCTTGAAACTGCTAATCTCAGATATTCTTTATATGTTCAAGTGCTAAGTGATTTCATTTTCCAGGGTCTCTTTTCTACAGACTATTCATCCTGTGAACCACTCTCTTTGTTTCCATTATCAAGGTTCCTTTTGACATTCTGTGCCTGTGATGGGTATATTATATGGCATATTAATAACATATCATAGAAATAATATATAAAAATATTAGATCTGGAAAACAAAAAATCTAGGTAAAACATAAAAATAATGTAAAAGTGTTCTTCCCTACAATCTTTTAACTGACTAGATCAGGAGAAATTTAGGAACAGAAAGCAATTCTAAAGCCTTGCAACATGTCCAGTGCATTCTAGCTATGAGTAAGACAGATGGACTTAAGTCATAAATGAATGCTTAATTTGGGCCATAGCAAGCCCTTCCCTTTCACAAAGCATCTGCTTCTGAAAGGAAAATTGCCAAGTGTAAAAATAGCTTAAACCCTAGCAGTTGGAATGTAGGCAAATGGTGCTCATTAAGATACTAAGGGAAGAACCTTTGGAATCAGACCTGGGTTCAAATTCATCTCTTACTAGCTGTATAAGCTTGAGCAAATTATTTAACTGCTTTTAAGTTTCCTCATCTGTAAAATGACAGTAGTAATAATATATCCCATAGGATTGTGACAATTAAGGAAAATATTCTAGTATCTTATATGTGGTTAGCTCTTATTTAATGTTATTTCTCCTCTTCATAACAGAGGAAGTTTTCTTGATGCAGCTTGAAATTGTTTAGAGGGGATAAAGTAGTAGAAAAGGGCCTTGGCTCTAAAGCCACATTTTAAAAAAATTAAATTACTTACATAACTGTAGACAAGTCCATATTTCAGTTTCATAGTGTCCAAATAAAAATTGATTCTCAGGATTGTGGTGATTATGTGAGATGATATATATGAAGTACCTATTAAAACTGTGGGATGCTGTGTCAGGAAGAGATGTAGTTACAGGGCTTTGAGAGTGCTGACCTTTCTGTTTTCATAGACATTTGGAATGTAGGAGCTGAAAGGGCACTTAAGATCATCTAGTTCATTTTCCACATTTTTCAGATGAGAAAACTGACAACCTGCACTATGTGGTATAGTAGAGGCAAAACTGGCCTGGATTTTTTAGACCTTTTTGTCCTCACCTTCCCTAGCTTCCCACTCGGCCAAAAGCTGCCTTTCTTTAGGGTTGTGTTGGGTCTATTGGAGGCATTAGGACTTCAGAATATCTTTTGGCCAGTGTATTAAGCTACCACAGAACAGGATTTTAAAACAGGATTGTGTACTTCAGGTCAGAGCTGGTAAAAATGAAGCATGCAGTCCTGCCCTGGAGAGAATTTGCATGTCTTAGGCAGATTCCTTAGATTCCTTGCCAGGTTGAGTTAGGTGTCTGATCATTTGTTCTTTCTTCACTCAGTGTCTGAACACCTGTTTTATGCCTGGCTTTTGCTAGCTGTTGGGGATTCATGGTAAGTTGGACATGATCCCTGCACTTAGAACTGAGTCTGCTTAGAAAAATAAACTCTGAAAGTAGGCAATAACTATCATGGATGTGGGAACAGAGGGGAAGGTGAACACCCCAGTGCAGGGATCAGAGAAGACTTCACAGAAGAGATGACCTTTAAGCTGAGACCTGACAAGGATAAAGGAAAGGGTTTGTGTGGTGGTGTGGCAAGGGAAGGGAAAGGGAAAGACAGGATTTATAGGCAAAGGGAGTAACTAGAGACAAAGTCAAGAGGTGTGGAAGAGCACATTATGTGCTAAAGGTGGACCATTACCACTGGTTCCGTGTATTTGGTGTAGACTGTATGAAACCTAAGTACAAGCATGCCTTGGAGATGCTGTGGGTTTAGTTCTGATTACCCCAATGGAGTGAGTGTCACAGTAAAAGGAGTCGTGTGAATTTTTCTGGTTTCCAAATGAATATAAAAGTTATGTTTACACTGTACTGTGGTCTATTAAGTGGACATTATTTTTAAATAAACAGTGTACATACCTTAATTGAAAAATACTTTAATCACTAAAATATGTTAATCATCATCTGGTAATGCAAGGTTGCCCAAATTATCAATTTGTAAAAAGTACTTCGTTACTGTGAAGTATAGTAACTCCAAGCATAGTGAAACAAGGTTTTCCTGTAGTGGGAGATAAAGTAGAGGATATGTCTGTAGAGCAGAGTTCTCAAAGCCTGAATGAAAATTTTTTCCAACCCAATATTTTATTAAAAAGCTTTTTTATTGGGGTTGGTTAACAATGCTGTGTTAGTTTTAGGTATATAGCAAAGTGAATCTGACATACATATACCCACTCTTTTTTGAATTCTTTTCCCATGTAGGCCATTATTGAGTATTGAGTAGAGTTCCCTGTGCTATACTGTAGGTCCTCATTATCTATTTTATATATAGTAGGAGTGACAGAATACAAAGGCTTTGGGGCTGGGAGGGAGCCCGAAGACCTCAGTCCTGGCCCCAGATCTGCTGCTAACTTGCTCTGTATCTTGGAAAGGCTACTTAACTTCTTGAAATTTCTGGTTTCTTCTGTCAAATGGGCACCAGTGTCACTATCCTACTTGTTACACAATTGCATTGAGGCTCCAATAGACTAGGTCTAGCTAATACCAAGACCTGAAATTCTTTTTGGTTGGGAGAGGGTTATATTAGTTTGCTAGAGCTGCTGCAACAAATTACCCCAAACACGGAACTTAAACAAGAAATTTATTGTTTCAGTTTGGAGGCTGGAAGTCCAAGATGAAGGTGTTTGTAGGGTTGGTTCCTTCTGAGATCTGCGAGGAAAAATTTGTTAGGCTTGAAGAAGCACTGCTCTGATCTCTGCATTTATCTCCTGTGTGCATTTGTCTCCAAATATCCCCTATTTATGAGGACGTTGACAGGATTAGGGACTGAACCTACTCCAGTAATACCTAATCATATTTTAAATAATTATATCCGCAATGGCCCTGTTTCCAAATAAGATCATACTGTGAGGCACTGGGAGTTAGAATATATGAATTTGGGGGGAACACAAGAGTATGACAAGGACACAATAACTGTAAATATTGAAGCTTTTTGTGCCAGATCAGCAGACCTTCAGCGAACACCTACTTGATGCAGCACCCTTGATGATTACAGATATTTGGACTTAATGATTCTCTGAGGTCCTAGCCTAGGGAGGCAGCATAGAATAGTGGTTTAGAACTTAGGGCCTGGGCCAGGCTGCCTGGATTTGAGTCTGACTGCTGCCGTTACTAACCATTTGATCTTGGGCGAATAACTTAGTCTCTATGCTTCAGCATCTTTATCTGCAAAATAAGAATGATAGTACCTGGCTGATAATGTTGCTGTGAGGCCACAGTGAATATTATTACATATGGAGAACTTGAATTGATACATAAGATACAGAGATATATTTTACAGTGCAGGGCATATAGCCAATATTTTATAATAACTTTAAATGGAGGATAGTTTATAGAAATACTGAATCACCTGAAACTAATAATGTAAATCAATTATAATAGAAAAAAGTAACTTGAATCATTACACTTGATTAATTATTAGATACTCATTTTAAGAAACGGTTTCCAAATCTAAAATTCCATAATGTGGAGAACCTTAAAGTGATCCGTAATCAAGAATCAAAAGGTTGAAGCAGGTTCTAGAAGCTCATAGAATGTAAGATGTCTGGGTTGGAAGGCTCTTTAGAGACCGTTTACTTGAGTCTTCTCATTTTGCAGATGGGGAAACCAGGGTTCAGAAAAAGGAGGTTAGTTGCCCTGAATCAACAAACTCATTAGTGGTAAAACCAGGACATTCTGATAAACGTTCTTTCTGCTCCTGGCTTACTTTAGTTCAATGAAAAAATTAAACCTTTAATCATGAATTGAGCATCTACTTCAATCTAAGTCTGGTTTTGGGCTCTGTAAATACACAGGTGAATTTGTATCATAGACCTTGTCCTTTAAAAGAGCTTAGAGCTCAACAAAAGAGCTAAATAAATAAAGATGTAGTAATATCCTTGCTTTTATCTCCTTTTTCTTGTTTCTCTTGCAGCAAATAAAAAGAAGGAGAAGGAACGGCCAGAGATTTCTCTTCCTTCAGATTTTGAGCACACAATTCATGTTGGTTTTGATGCTGTCACAGGCGAGTTTACAGTAAGTTTTGGGTCACAGAAAGACGTTTGGTCTTTCAGAGTTCTGGCTATGCACTGTTAGATTTGATCTTTTCTAGACTTCCTGATACTTCTGTCTTTGCCTGAGACCCTTATTACTGTCGTCTCATGTTCTTGAGAGGACTGTTTCTGCACTTCCAGAATTGTACCAGAGAAGCCTTTGAATCTCCATTCCTTAAATAGACCTCGGTTAAATGGCCTTTTGGCAGGGACTCTGTGCTGGGCATTGATGATCCAGAGACAAATCAGACAAGGTTCATGCTTTAAAGGAGGAATAGCCTGGTGAGGAGCAAACATCTCAAGAAGTTAACTGATACAGTAAGATGTAAGAGAGGCCTGTGAGAAGCTCTGAAGGCAGAGAAAGGAATGACTAAAATCTTTAGCTGCTATCAGTTATCAAAATTAGTTCTTTTAAAAAAGTTAAAAAAAATTGTTTTTATTTTATATTGGAGTATTGCTCCTTGGAAGGAAAGCTGTGACAAACCTAGATAGCTTATTAAAAAGCAGAGACATTACTTTGCCAACAAAGGTCTGTGTAGTCAAAGCTATGCTTTTTCCAGTAGTCATGTATAGATGTGAGAGTTGGACCATAAAGAAAGCTGAACACCAAAGAATTGATGCTCTTGAATTGTGGTGTCGGAGAAGATTCTTGAGAGTACCTGGGACTGCAGGGAGATCAAACCAGGCAATCCTAAAGGAAATCAATCCTGAATATTCATTGGAAGGACTGATGCTGAAGCTCCAATACTTCGGCCACCTGATCGAAGGGCTGACTCATTAGAAAAGACTCTGATGCTGGGAAAGATTGAAGGTAGGGGGAGAAGGGGATGACAGAGGATGAGATGGTTGGATGGCATCACCGACTGGATGGACATGAGTTTGAGCAAGCTCTGAGAATTGATGATGGACCGGGAAGCCTGGTGTGATACAGTCCATGGGGTTGCCAAGAGTCAAACTTGACTGAGTGACTGAACTGACTGATAGCCAATTAACAATGCTGTGAATTTCTGGTGGACAGCAGGGGTACTCAGTCATACATATACATGTATCCATTCTCCCCCACACTCCTTTTCCATCCAGACTGCCTCATAACATTGAGCAGACCTCCCTGTGCTATACAGTAGGACCTTGTTGGTTATCTGTTTTAAATACAGCAGTGTGTAGGTGGTGATCCCAAACTCCCTAACTATCCCTCCCCACCCCTTTCCCTCCATAACCATAAGTTTGTTCTCTGTGTGGGTCTGTTTCTGTTTTGTAAGCAAGTTTAGTTGTGTTACTTCTTTTCAGGTTCTGCATATAAGGGGTATCATATGATATTTCTCTGTTTGAGTTACTTCACTCGGTATAACAATCTGTATGTCCATCCATGTTGCTGCAAATGACATCATTTCATTCTTTCTTATGGCCGAGTAGTATTCCATTGTCTGTCTATACCACATTTTCTTTATCTATTCCTCTGTCAGATGTTTAGGTTGCTTCCGTTGGCTATTTCTGGGCTATTGTAAACAGTGCTACAATGAACACTGGAATACATGTATCCTTTCAGATCATATTTTTCTTCGGCTGTATGCCCAGGAGTGGGGTTGAAGGGTCATATGGTAGCTCTATTTTTAGTTTTTTAAACTAAACCTCCATACTGTTCTCCATAGTGGCTGTACCAATTTGCATTCTCACCAACAGTGTAGGAGGGTTCTCTTCTCTCCACACCATCTCCAGCCTTTATTGTTTGGGGGTTTTTTGATGATGGACATTCTGACTGGTGTGAGGTAATAGTCATTGTGGTTTTGATATGCATTTCTCTAATAATTAGTGGTGCTGAATTTGCACTACTATTGCATTACTATTGATTTCCCTTTTTACAGTTGTTAGAATTTGCCTTGTATATTGAGGTGCTCCTATGTTGGGTGCATATATGTTTGCAGTTTTTATATCTTCTTGGATTGATCCCTTGATCATTATGTAGTGCCCTTCTTTGTCTCTCATAACAGTCTTAGTTTTACAGTCTGTTCTGTCTAGTATGAGTATTGCTACTCCAGTTTTCTTTTTATTTTGATTTCCATGGAATACCGTCTTCCAACCCCTCACCTTCAGTCTGTATGTATCCCTAGTTCTAAAGTGAGCTCTTGTAGACAGCGTATATATGAGTCTTGTTTTTGTATCCACCCAGCCGGTCTTTGTGTTTTGGTTGGCACATATAATCTATTTGCATTTAGGGTAATTATCCATATGTATATTCCTATTGCCATTTCGTTAATTGTTCTGAGTTTGTTTCACAGGTCTTTATTCTTCCTTTTCTCCTTTGTTCTCTTGTGGTTTGATTACCATCTTTAGTGTTGTGTTTGGGTTGCTCTTTCTTTTGCTTATGTGTATTTATAGAGCCTACCTGCAATGCAGGAGACCCTGCTTCAAGCCCTGGGTCAGGAAGATCCCCTGGAGAAGGAAATGGCAACCCACTCCAGTATTCTTGCTTGGAGAATCCCATGGAGAGAGGAGCCTGGCAGGTTACAGTCCTTGGCATTGCAAAGAGTCGGATATGACTGAGTGACTAACACACAATGTAGTTTTTGGATTTGCTGCACCCTTGAGGTTTTGATATAACAATACATAATATATATGTTTTCTTTTTTAAAGTTGCTGGTCTCTTTCCCACCCAGAGGAGTTCCTTTAGCATTTGTTGCAAAGCGGGTCTGCTGGTGCTGAATTCTCTTACTTTTTGCTTGTCTTTAAATCTTTTGATTTCCATGTCAAATCTAAATGAGAGCCTCACTGGGTATAGTATTCTTGATTTTGCTCTGGTGGGCAGGGACTTTAATCTACTTGTCTGCTGATGGGTGGGACTGTGTTCCCTCCCTGTTAGTTGTTTGGCCTGAGGTGACCCAACCCTGGAGCTCTATGATAGGGCTATGGTAGTCTCCAGGAGGGCTCATGCCAATGGGTAGTGCTGCTGTCAGCGCCCTTGTCACTGGTGAGCCGCAGCCGCTGCTTGCCTCTTCAGGAGACTCTACAGCACTAGCAGATAGGTTTGGTTCATTCTCCTATGGGGTCTCTGCTCCTTTCCCCTGAGTCCTGTTGGGCTCAACGTTTTGTATGTGCTCTCCAAAAGTGGAGTGTGTTTCCCCTAGTTCTGTGGAAGTTGTATAGTCAAATCTCACTGGCCTTCAAAGTTAGATTCTCTGGGGATTCCTAGTGCCATTGCCAGACTCCTAGTCTGGGAAGCCTGACGTAGGGCTCAGAACCTTCACAACAGTGGCAGAACTTTTGTGTGGTATAATTGTTCTCCAGTTTGAGGGTCTCCCACCTGGTGGATATTGGATTTGGTTTTACAGTGATTGTGCCTGTCCTACGGTCTCATTGGGCCTATACCTTTGTCTTTGGATTTTTTTTTTTTTTTTTGGTGGGTTCCAGCAAACTAGCTAACTATTCAGCAGTTAGTTGTGAGTTTTGGAGGAGGAGGTGAGCACTTGTCCTTCTCCTTCCCCATCTTGAACCAATCTTCTACTCCACAGTGAGTTCTGAATTTGCTTCAGGGTCCCTGTGACTGTGCCTTGCTGACAGCCTTGCATATCTCTCTTACAGGGGATGCCGGAGCAATGGGCCCGCTTGCTTCAGACATCAAATATCACTAAGTCAGAGCAGAAGAAAAACCCGCAGGCTGTTCTGGATGTGTTGGAATTTTATAACTCAAAGAAGACCTCCAACAGCCAGAAGTACATGAGCTTTACAGGTATGGAGATTGTGTCCAGGACAGTCTAAGGGAAAAAAATGCTTTCATATTGGATGTCCATTGATGTGAAGGAAGAACATTATGGGAAGAGGAGAGATGGCACTTTCACTAAGATGGAATTTTGAAATTTGAGAGCTACGATGTTGGGTTTTTGCATTAAACTTGAGTCTTTACTCTAAAACTGCATGTTTCTAAAAAATACTGTGATATTATGTTTAAAAACATAGACTTTGTGCTAGAAAATCTGGATTCTGATACTGACTAGGTTTTAGTAATTACTTCATTTCTTTGAGCTTCAAAATGGGGATGTTATTTCCTATCTCAAGAGGTTGTAATGAGAATAAATGAGCTCATTGATGTGAAAATTCTTTGCAGGTTATAAAACAGCACCATGGAAATGTAGCAATTGTTATCATCATTGTTTTCAATATCAATAAGTTATGTGATAACACATTTAAGTAGGCAAGCCCAATTTCTTCCTCAAGGAACTAATTTTTATCAGTCAAATGAAAAAAGGCCAATAATAATAAATGTTCTTTAGATGTATTCTTTGTCTCTGTATAAAGGGCTGTGTTTTTCAGAATGTTTTTCATACCAGAATTGGGATTAGTGTCCAGGTCTCCTAATTCGTGGACTAGGAATTACCACTTGTCTCTAGTAACTCTTACTTGGAACACCTCCTTCCGTGGCAGAGAGAGTTTTTTTTTTCTTAAGCAAGTCCTAAGAAGGCCTGCATTTCTGAAAACTGCCTTTTATATAGCATCTTAGAATTTTAGGGCAAGTAGTATCTTTAGTATATACCACTTCCGGTCTCCTCTTGTTCTGCAAACATTAGAGCCCCAAATGCCTTTCTATTGTGGCTAAATTAGTGGTCTCTTAACCACTGTTCTTAACTGAGTTCATTTCTTAATGCTGGTGTTACTGTTGTCTCTTTTAAAGGTCAGTGTTGTTGGGGAAAGTGAGAACCAGGATGAACTAACTGGTTTTGAAGGATGCTTTTCCCAGCAAGTATCTGGCTTGTAGCAAAGGGCACAGATGGTGAGGATGACAAACTGCAGCTTTGCTCATTCTGCATAGTGGTGCCCAGCAGAGCCTCATACATGTCCTTAGCATATTCCCTTCCTGATATCTGTCCCCACTGGATCTGTCTCACTTCTTTCATTGAGGGAGTGTTATTCCAAGGCAGTATTGGGTGTGAGAGATCGTGGGTAGGAAAGTTTTCTAGATTAGGGTTTGTGTTTTCAAGAGTTTGTCATGGAGATGTCAGATTAAGAGCTGGTTTTGAAAGCTGCAGAGCAGAGTCTTTGAAATAATCTCTTTTTATGTGTATGTGTGTAGATATGTACAAATACTGTTTATGTTTATGGAAGCAGCTCTGTGGGTTTCTGTATGTGTGGAATATAAAAAGTCCACTTTAAGTATATATGAGTGAATATGGGTATATGATATACACATTCAGGTAATTGTATGTTCCTGCATGTATGCATAAATGAATAACATTGAAGGATTTTTTGTCTTCTGTAAGTTGAAGACCAAAGCGGCTCCAGGCAAAACTGTGTATTTGTCATAGTTATTTTTTTATTGACGTGTAATTGATTTACAGTGTTGTGTTAGTTACTGCTCTACAGCAGAGTGATTCAGTTATACATTCACTCTATTTTAAAATATTCTTTTCCAGTATGGTTTATCATATGATATTTTTTCCTTTTTTAAAAACATCATTTATTAAAATTTAAATTGGAGGATAATTGCTTTGCAGTGTATCGTAGGATATTGAGTATAGTTCTCTGTATTATACAGTAGATCTCATTTTTTATGGCACAGTTATTTTAAATGTCCTATCTCTCATTTTCCTATTTCTTTTCTTCTCATACTATTCTCATTATTAATTATGACAACACTACTTCAGTTTGTATATGCTTGTCCATAAATTATCTCACTTTATTCTCATGATGACATTGAGAGACTGGCAGTACAGGTACTGTTACCCACATTTTGCATATACAGAGAAATTATTTAGGCTCAGGGGAAGTAAGTGATTTATTCATAGAGCCTTAACATATCAATTGAGTGATACACCAGTGATGTAAGTGTGTTTTCAACTTGGGTCTTTAAATCTTTTGCTATCTAAAAACAAAGCACAATTTTTCATGCCAATTTTTTGTTGTTTCTTGTTTTTTTAGCACTTTATTTTCTGTGCCAACTAATAGGTAATGTGATAAGCAAAATTTAGACTAGATTGACAACCTCAATCTGGTTTTAGAAAAGGCAGAGGAACCAGAGATCAAATTGCCAACATCCCGCTGGTTCATCGAAAAAACAAGAGAGTTCCAGAAAAACATCTATTTCTGCTTTATTGACTATGCCAAAGCCTTTGACTGTGTGGATCACAATAAACTGTGAAAATTCTGAAAGAGATGGGAATACCAGACCACCTGACCTGCCTCTTGAAAAACCTGTATGCAGGTTAAGAAGCAACAGTTAGAACCAGACATTGACCAACAGACTGGTTCCAAATAGGAAAAGGAGTACATCAAGGCTGTATATTGTTACCGTGCTTATTTAACTTATATGCAGAGTACACAATGAGAAATGCTGGGCTGGATGAAGCACAAGCTGGAATCAAGATTTCTGGGAGAAATATCAATAACCTCAGGTATGCAGATGACACTACCCTTATGGCAGAAAGTGAAGACAAACTAAAGAGCCTCTTGATGAAAGTGAAAGAGGAGAGTGAAACAGTTGGCTTAAAGCTCAACATTCAGAAAACAAAGATCATGGCATCCTATCTCATCAATTCACGGCAAATAGATGGAGAAACAGTAGGAACAGTGGCAGACTTTTATTTTTTTTTGTGGCTCCAAAATCACTGCAGATGGTGACTGCAGCCATGAAATTAAAAGACGCTTACTCATTGGAAGAAAAGTTATGAGCAACCTAGACAGCATATTAAAAAGCAGAGACATTACTTTGCCAACAAAGGTCTGTCTAGTTAAGGCTATCGTTTTTTCAGTAGTCATATATGGAAGTGAGAGTTGGACTATAAGAAAAGCTGAGCATCAAAGAATTGATGCTTTTGAACTGTGGTGTTGGAGAAGACTCTTGAGAGTCCGTTGGACTGGAAGGGGATCCAACCAGTCCATCCTAAAGGAGATCAGTCCTGAATATTCATTGGAAGGACTGATGTTGAAGCTGAAACTCCAATACTTTGGCCACCTGAAGCGAAGAGCTGACTCATTTGAAAAGACCGTGATGCTGGGAAAGATTGAAGGTGGGAGGAGAAGGGGGTGACAGAGGGTGAGATGATTGGATTGCATCACCAACTTGATGGACATGAGTTTGAGTAAACTCCGGGAGTTGGTGATGGACAGGGAGGCCTGGTGTGCTGCAGTCCATGGGGTCGCAAAGAGTCGGACACGACTGAGTGACTGAACTGAACTGAACTGACAACCTCATGTTCTGGGTTTTAGCCCTCTTTGTCATGGATTTGTGGCATTTGATTTATGTAATCTTAAACCAGTTTCTTTTCCTCTGAATCTTTATTTAACTTGTAAAATGAAGAGATTGGAAGTGCTTTCTGCTGTGTCACTCTCTGCTATGAAATTTAATTTATATATATAGAAATTGTACATCTCATTTAGAAGGTGCAAACTTACTCTTCTTTTATACGATTGAGATATGTTTATTACCAGAATACCCAGTCCTCAAAAACACTAGTAGGATGGAAGGTTGGAGGTGGTTCAGTGAAGGCATAATATTCTACTTGGTATGGAATATGCTTTTGGACAAGAAAAACAAGTGAATTATGTTTAAGCTATATCCTGATTTGATTTCTCTGGGGTACAGCTTGCCATTCAGGGCTGGCTTTAAGAACATATTATCACAGTTTGTGGGTTCATAATTTGTCATAGGATCATAGGAGCTATACCTGACACTTTCATGTATGTGAGATCTTGGACATTATCTGGGCTTGTTTCTTGGTGAGGTAGATGTAGGATTTGATATAATATTTCTTCTCCTTAATTCCATTGGTGGTGAACTGATGAAATCGATTTCTTCTAGGACTTCTAGGAATTAAAGAATAAATCCAAACATAATACTTAGTGTTTAAACTTATTCTCTTGCTAGATCTCTGTTGGGTCTGTGTTTCATACTTTATCAAGTTTAAGATATCATTGATTATAAGATGCATTGTTATTTTACATACATGAAGAAAAAAGAAGCTGCCAATTAAATCATGAAATACCTTTGACTGTAGGGCACATCTTTGTTTCAGAAATGTTAATGTGAAAAAATATATATCTCAGAATTAATAAAATTTGGTGATATTGAGAGAGTTTAGATCTAGTGTCAGAAATAAGACCATACCTTTAATTATACTTGCCATGACTGTATTGTGCTAAGATGCTTAGTCATGTCCGACTCTTTACGACCCCATGGACTGTAGCCCATCAGGATCCTCTATCTATGGAGATTCTCCAGGTGAGAATTTTGAAGTGGGTAGCCTATCCTGTCTCCAGGGATCAAACCAGGGTCTCCTGCATTGCAGACAGATTCTTTACCAGCTGAACTACCCAGGAAGCTCTTTTCCTAAGGCTTAGTTTTTCTCTACTTGTAGGGAATAGACATGGATATAGAAGGATCCTTTCTAAAAGCTGAAGCTGCATGCTGATCATGATTTGTTATAGACATCTCAGGGTGATACCAGTTATGAACTCTTTCCTTTTCCCTTAGAATGGAGGAAATTTCCTTAATCACTGAGGCTTGGTAATGTGGATATAGTTCTAGCATAGTATTTAGAATTAAACCAGGATTCAAATCTTGACTCCTAATAACCTGTGTGTTTAATTTGTAGACAAATCACTTCACTGAATGTCAGTTTCCAAATTTATAAAAGTGGACATAATAATAGTACCCAGCTGTAGCAAGGATTAGAGGTGGTAATGTGTATAAAGTATTTAGCATGGTATTGGGACTGTAGTATCAGTAACACTGTTATTCTAAGCTTGGCAAGTATTTTACTGAATAGGCTTCCTAAGTCTCAAGAAAGAATTCACTGTAATTGTTTACTGACTGAATCACTTGTCTTTTTTCTTTTGCAGATAAATCAGCTGAGGATTATAATTCTTCTAACACTTTGGTAAGCCTTTATTTCCTCTATTCTGATATGGGCAGGCATGATTTTTAGCGATCAGGTCAGTGAGGTAGATGCGGAGTCTGGGCTGGTGGGCACTCATCTTGGTCACTCTCCCACCCTGGGCCTTAGAGTAAAGGAGTTGGAACTTAATAAGCAGTAGATATCCCTTCCAGATTTAATTTATTAATGCTCTAGAAATCTTAACCCTGGAACCAGAAGTACTGGCTACTAGACTCAGTTTTCAGTTTTAGCTTTGAATCTTAGGAAAGTCAATTTGCCTTTCTGAGCTTCAAATTTTTCCTCAGTAGAATGAGGACTGTACACTTTGCCTTACCTGGAGATGTCCTCAAATAGCTGCATTTAAAAGAGAATTTCTTCTTTTGGGTTAATTGGGTTTACAAAACCAGGATTAGGATTAATTGTTGAAGGGAGCAGATTCTATTAATTTAAGGTCATTCATTCTGTCCTCTGAAGTTGTAGTGAATGTCCTATCACTTGAAGGAATGTATAGAAGTCATTGATGACCTCATGGGTCCCTCTGACCTTCACAATTTACCAATTCCTTTTTCTAAAGCAGATTATGAGATGAGGTATTGATGTATTTGAAAGGGCCTTATAATGAGTAAGCTGTGGCTTATTACACTAGATTACTGCTGTTGCTTTATCTAGTGCTGTCTCTTGTGCAAAGTTGGTTATTTTATGTTGATTTACTAAACATTTGCAAAGCCGCTATTCTATGCCAGGTCCTCTGTGGAGAAATGACAGTATAGGGATGAATCAGACATGATCAAATTCCTGATCTCCCAGCCTTGTGAGTGTCATGAAGGTACCAACAGTTACAGTACAGGATGCTAAAACTGCATGAGGCCAGGAACTGTGTCTCACCCGTCAGTTGCAGGTTCCATGGCATGTGGCACATTATGATATAATACTGAATAAAATTATACTATGGCACGTACTGAATAAAAGATTGGATGTTTAAGGAAAGCTTCCTGAGAGTGAAGTCTGAACTGAATGCGTTAGTTATCTTGGGGAAGAATAATAAAGAGAAAAGTGTATTCCAGGCAGAGGATAAATAACATGTGATAAGGCAAGAAGGTTCGTGAGGTTTGCTTGCACAGAGAACTGCAAGTGGTTTGTTATGATTGGAATGTGAAGTGTAGGCAGGTCAGATCATGTAGGAATTTTAACTTTTAAAGGTAATAACAAGCTATTGAAGGATCTTAAGTGGAGGAGTCATACATAATACTGAGTCACAATCCAAAAATCATGCTTCCAGCATTGGAGATTCATTTATTCTGAGTCATTTATATTGTAGTCAGTGATTTAAAAAAAAAGGTTCACATGTCCATTGCCAGTGGCATCCTGGGTCCTTTCATATTCATGATCCCTTTTAATCTTCACAGGAGTTTAATGAGACTGGTTAGTATCCTTGTATAATAGATGATAAAACTGAAATTGAGAAGGGTTATTGGCAATAGGTAACTGATTCCCAGTTCGTTTTGCTTTCCACTGATTCATTTTTTCATCAAATGGAAGAGATACAGTTAAAAGGTGGTGAAGAACTTGCTGATGTTAAGGTCCTTGGAAGTTTCTCCCCATTATTGAATTGTAAATTGTTGAAGAAGGGATGTTAACCAAAGCTGAACTCTACTTTGTGGCTCAAATGTCTTTATGCTTTTAAAGGAGGAGTAGCAGCTATTATTTATTGAGTAGCTAAGATGTGCCTGGCACTGTGTTAGTAACTTATATGGTGGTGGTTTTGTCGCTAAGTCATGTACAACTCTCATGACCCCATGGACTATAGCCTGCCAGGCTCCTCTTTCCATGGGATTCTCCAGGCAAGAACACTGGAGTGGGTTGCTGTTTCCTTCTCCAGAGGATCTTCCTAACCCAGGAATCAAACCTGGGTCTCCTGCATTGCAGGCAAATTCTTTATCACCTGGGCTATGAGAGAAGCCCAGTAACTTATGTATGTTAACATAATTAGTCCTCACAAACTAACCTTTTGAAGAAATTATCATCCCCATTTCACAGGTAGGAAACAGACTTTCCTGGAGACTCATAATTGTATTGTGATACAAGCAGATTAGAACTATGGTCTTCTGAGTCTCTGTCCTGGGTTTTTTTTCCCCACTGTGGCAGGGAACTGAGAAAGAAGATGTCAGAGAGGTCTTATAAAGGAGACTGCAGTAAAGCCTTTGGTCTGTTGTTCCTTAGTGAGGAGGAGGAGCCCTGGGGCTCATGCCATATGGCGGAGAGGATAACACCTGCTTTGTAAAAACCTGTACTGATTTTAGTATCTACAATTAAAACCACCAGATTGTCAAGGACATTTTCTCCCCAATTCAGAACATTATCCCTGTGGCTCAGTCCTTTTTATTTCCTTACTAGTTATATGTGGGGATATGGTTTGTCCTGTGGTAGCATGGCATCGTTTTCCATATTGGTTTCACACAGATCATGCCATTTGATGTTGGAAATATTTGAATGATATTGTAATCTCCATGACACAAGAAATTGGGACTCAGAGATTACATGACTTGCTTCCTATCCTTGAATGAATTAGTAGTAGAAACCAGTACAATATTAAGTTCTCCTCAGCATTCATTTGTACATTTAACCATAGATATTTATCTAGCACTTTCTTTGTGCTCAGGTATTGGTGATACAGAGGTAAAATTTTTGTGCTATCTTAGTCCTTGAGAAAAAATTAACAGAAGGATGAGGGCTGCAAGAGGAGTAATTCTGCTTGGTAGTACAGGATAGTTGACACAAGGTTCTTGGGCCCTCATAGTTTGTTCATTTAATAAACATAACCTTTAATGTTTCTTCTAGTTCTAAAAATTCTTTTATTTGTAGCTCATTGGTCTAAGATCCATCTCTCAGATTATTTAGCATTTTAGTGCCTGATCTCTCATTTATAAAATGATCACCTACTATGTTATAGGCTCCGTGAGTGCCCTGGATGAGTAAGGTCTTTGCTCTTGATCTCACAACTTAGTGAGGAATCAGAGCATGTAAACAAGGATTGATAACACAGTGTCAGGTAAGTAACACAGTGTCAGGTAAATGTAGGCAATGATACCAGCCAGAGAAAAGGGCAATCAATGCTTTCTTGTGTGAGGTAGCATGTACAACAGCCACATTGTTAAGGATCCATCATGTCAGGTGAAAGAACTTGGACTCTCCACTTGAGCTAAGGAAGTATTTTAGATGAGATCGGGCGCGTTCAGGGTGGTATGGCCGTAGACAAGGAAGTATTTTAAATAGGAAGTATTTTAAATAATGTAGTTAGATGTTTATTTTAGTCTAAACTACCATCTTAGAAAGGGCTTCCCTGGTGGCCCAGTGGTTAAGAATCTGCTTGCCAGTGCAGGAGATGTGGGTTTGGTCCTTGGGTCAGCAAGATCCACTGGAGAAGGAAATGGCAACCCACTCCAGTATTCTTGCTGGGAAAATCCCGTGGATAGAGGAGCCTGGCAGGCTACACTCCATGGTGTCAGAAAGAGTTGGATACAACTGAACTACTGAAAAACAACAACCATTTTAAAAAGATACCTCTGGAATTTGGATCTGTGTAGAGAGTTGAACTGTGAAGAAAGCTGAGTGCCAAAGAACTGATGAACTGTGGTGTTGGAGAAGACTCTTGAGAGTCCCTTGGACTGCAAGGAGATCCAACCAGTCCATCCTAAAGGAGATCAGTCCCGAGTGTTCATTGGAAGGACTGATGCTGAAGCTGAAACTCCAATACTTTGGCCACCTCATGTGAAGAGTTGACTCATTGGAAAAGACCCTGATGCTGGGAGGGATTGGGGGCAGGAGGAGAAGGGGACGACAGAGGATGAGATGGCTGGATAGCATCACCTACTCGATGATGTGAGTTGAGTAAATTCTGGGAGTTGGTGATGGACAGGGAGGCCTGGCGTGCTGTGATTCATGGGGTTGCAAAGAGTCGGACATGACTGAGCGACTGAACTGAACTGAACTGAGTGGGATGAATTCATATCTCTGTCTCTCTTGCCATGCTTAATTTCTTAAGTTCAGAAAAGACACATAAAAAGTAAATTCAAAACAATGCTTATTAATGAACCATTGTTGGAAATTCATGGAAGATAGAAAGCAGATAAGATTAGATTGACTGGAGCAGCAGAAAGTACAGCTGCTCTGTGTATGGGGAAGAGAAAAATCCTAGGAAAGTAAGAGTAGTTCCAGAGAAAATGGTGTGAGAGAATATATATAGAAAATAGGAAAGATTCCTGGGTCGTCTTGAAGAGTAAATTAATTTAAATTCTGTAATTGAAAAAGCAGGGGCAGCCTCCATGTTAAGTGAGCAAAAGGTATCAGAAGGTTGATCCTAAGCTTAAACCAGACACTTTTCTAAAGAAAGTACCCTGCCTCTTTGTAAATACCCATATCAGGAGAATGCCTGATACAGGTACAGGGGCCTGAGAGAGGAACAGAGCAAAACTGGAGTTAACTATAAATCTCTACAGCAGGTATAAAGTAGAGAAAAAGGAAAAGAAGCTCTGCAGTGGAAAAAAATACTTTAAATTTCTGGCATCCCAAGGATAAATTTCTTATGCCTTTGATAACTGGGAGAAGAGGAATCTCTACCATACATACTCTTCCGTGCTGATACACTCTGAAATGATACTTGTCAGTTACCACATCTGTATAACTCATATACAGACTGCATCAGACTGCCCATTCAGAGGAAGATACAGCAGAGAAGCACACTCACATGACTACAGTGGAAGCATATGCTAGGTGTATATACTGATTAATCACTGATAAATATGAGAGGAGAGCCAAGGATCTCCAGACTCTTGAGAGGAACAAACCCTTAAAGAGAAGGACCACGATAAAGAAATAAAACTGATCCCAGAGGAAATTGATAATTCAGGAAAGAAAATTAAAAAGAACTCTAATATTGGGTTGGCCAAAGAGTTCATTTGGGCTTTTCTGTAAGACGGTTCAAAAAACTGGAATGAACATCTTGG